ACATGCAAACTCCACACAGAAAGACCCCGGCCTGATGTTGGAATTGAACTCAGGACCTTCTTGCTGTGCGGCAACAGTGCTAACCACCGTGCCACCGTGCTGCCTAACTAATTTAAAGTAACTAATGGAAAAATTAGATGAACTAAAATCAGGGGAACTTTTCTTCAACTTTTCTGCCTGAGTGTTTCACCTGCTAGTACTCGTTACTTTTCAAAAACAGCTATTTGTTGTTTGTAACAAAGAACAACAAATAAATGTCAGCTAGCTACAGTATCACAGCTGTTTTTGACCTCCTGTATTAGGATATAATGTAACTCTTCTTAGAACTAATAAGCTGTCGCTCAGCGATAAAGAAATCAGAATTACTGATTTGAACTACAGTGCTGACAAGCACTCTTCCCTCTGAGTGTAACTGTATCCCATGTCTGAATATACAAATATGTAACCAAGTGAAAACTAATATTGAAAACACAAACTTCTATTCTACACAGGAGTTAAGAGCAGGTTAAGCTTCTCGTGCTCATTTTTCATTGGTGTGATGGCCCTCCTGCCCTGCCTGGGCCTGCTGTGTGTTTTTCCCCTCTTTCGCTCTGCGTGTTGCTTTGCCCCTTCTTCCTGTTAGTGAGTTAATCAGCACAACTAAAGGACATCACCAGTCTCCCTGGAGCATTTAGGAGCTGGATGCCTTAGTATTTTCTCCCTCTCCGTCCACTCAGCACTGTGTTTCTTGCTTGTTTGGCTTCAGCCTTGTTATTTTGGGTTATTTATCTATGTAGCAATTTCAGACCATCATTTAAACACTCATCCAACTGCTGACATGGGTGGGGTTAGGTTAATTGGTAATTCAAAGTTGGCTGTAAGTGTGAATGTGAGTATGAAGGGTTGTCTGCCTCTCTGTGTTAGCCCTGGAGCAGCCTGGCGACCTGTCCAGGTGACCCTGAGCTGGATGGATGGATGGATATGAATTAACTTATTAAGTCTGAGGAATACTTTGTAGACCTGAATGATAAAAATGTGGTGAGACATGGATTAGGGGAAGGGTTTTCAACCTATTTGTACAAATCTTCGAGTGTCCCAAGAGCACAGCAGCGTCAGTAACTGTAAAATGGAACAACTGTGGACAACCAAGACTCCCCACAGATTCGATGCCAAACTGAGTGAGTGGGCAGGGCCTGAAGATCGCAACAAGTCTTCAGAAGATCACCACAGAGATTGAGATGTCAGCTGAGAAGAACAATCACCTCAGCAGCAGTTACGACAACTTTGAGAAGGACTTTGAGAATATGAAGATAAAGATTTTCTGGACTGAACAGAACTCCCAGTACTGTGTCTGCTGAAAACTAGGTGCAGCTCATCTGAGATCATCTGTACGGTGAAGCGTGGCAGTGAGAGCAGGCAGCAGAAAACTGAAGCATGAATTCGCACAGACGATGGCAGTTCACAGATGGTTCCCATCTAATCTGACAAAGCTTGACAGGATCTTTTAGGAGGAATGGGAGGAACTGCCCAAATCCAGGTGTGCACAGCCTTTATAGACTTATCCGAGCAGTGTCTTGGATAACCCAGCTGTTCTAAGAAGAAATAACGACTGCCAAAGAGACTACAAATTTCTGGATGTTTTCTAAATGAAGGATTTAAGTTTCCATTATCTTTTGTTTTATTTTTTAAAATACATCTATTAAAAAACATACAAACAAAAAGGAGCTTCTACCCACCTCCATATTCTTATTACAGGGATTACTTGTGCATATGCTGACCTCGCTGTTGAAAAGTTGACCATGTTTAATGTGAGCGTTCTCCAGTCTTACATTAAATATATATGAAGGAAAATAAGGTGAAAGAGAAGTTTACAGGAGTTTGAAAATGTATTATAATAAACTGCAAATATCTGAGTAGACTAGACTAGAAATCTGCTTCTTTTTTCTAATCTGTCTGGGTAAAGAGATTATAAACATACTTCTCTCCTGCTGCATAAACTATTTGCTGGCTTAAAGTGGGCCTTTGGTAAGCTAATAACAAATATGAGCTAGCTGTGCAGTCGTAGCTTTTTCTTTTTGTAATTAAAATTTTTAAAAAGTAAATAAACTCCCAGTGCTGCATGCATTATGCGGTATTATGCAGATGGTTCAATTGTGTGTGGTTTTATAGAATAATGAGATTTTTGGTGACTATTGGTCTATGCGTAGTTAAGGTAATAAATCTGTGCTGTATTCATTTTCCTGTTATTTCTGGCTGTTTGATAAACACAATTATCGTTTATCAGTAAAAACTCTTCAAGAATCCTTTAGTGAATCAGAAATGATTGTTTGGATGCCTGAGAGGGGTCATGAGATCAAGCTCTGTGACAGTGTATGTTCTCTCTGGCTGCAGAACACTGAGGCCGGTGCCCCCCTGATCCAGAAGGGGGAGACAGTGCCGGAGTAAATCGGGTGATTCCCAGAGGTCTCATTCCGGGATATGAATGTCAGTTGGGTGCAGCTTTAAGTGTCTCCGATGGGGTTGTGAATGGCCAAATGCATAACGGCCTAGAAGCTCAGTCAGCAAAGTGGAGCGTAACTCACTACACAGATGGCTGACAAAAGGTTTTTTGGCACTGCCCCCCTCCCGCCTCCCTCTTATCGCCCAGAGTGCAGTTGGGCTGCTTTCTGACCTTGAGGCAGCAGCAGCAGGACGGCCGGCCCACGCAGAGCACAGCCAGCTGCAAGGATCCCTGCGTACTGCTGCATTAGGCCCTCTGCATGGGCTCAGGTCTCCAGCCGGCGCTGCGTGTAACACGTTACACTCATTCATTAATTGTCACTCATCTTAATCTCTTCACACACGCACACACTGACACACATTTCTGTGTGACTGTTCGTGTCCTACAAAGAAAAGGAGATAAAAACCCCACACGGGGGGGGGGGGGGGGGAGTGCAGAGGAGTAACACAACATTTTCTCCCTCTATTTTATTCAGTGTCTCCATTCGCGCACAGCCAACCCGGTCACCACGGCAACCAGTTCATTAGTGGAGCAAGCTGCTTGTTGCCATAGAGACATCCTTGTGTTCCCTAGGAGATGTGGTACTGGGAAGGTGTGCGTGCATTTGTGTGTGAGGATGTGCATCTGTGTGCGTGTTTCTCTGAGTGTGTGTGTGTGTGTGTGTGTGTGTGTGTGTGTGTTACAGCAGCGTGGCAAAATAGAACAGAGTAAAAGGGAGGCGAACGCCTTCGATTTTGAGTTTGTGAGAGGGAGCAAGAGGATGAAGAGGTGTGTCTGTTTGAATTAGATTAGTTTTCTCTATCTCTCATACACACACACACACACAACCTACACACTGCACTTACAGTCCCATCAATGGAAGCCAGCAAACACTTTAAAATGAATCACAATCACAGCATGAGGGAATGAAGGTTAAGGATTTGGTTATCAGAGAGGAAGAATATTCCCACAGTCAACCGTAACAATATTAGATCATAAAACACTGATTATCATCATAAAACGCGTTTCTGTAATAACCCTGCTTTTGGCCTAAAATGGTTTTAGACGCTTGGAGACTTTACTGTGGCAGCCGTGTTACTTATTGATCTGTACACCTCCAAGAAAATGATTGATCCTCTAGCTTCTAACTGAACCAGCCAATTAGGGGCATTGCCCATTTATTATTCTGATGAGGCCTTCAAAATGCTGCTTAGTTCAGTTTTCTCACTGATCCTCCAATCCTACGGGCATTTTTGTATTGCTCAACATTAACAAAAGCAACACTATGCTTTTGCGTCTGGGATTTGCAACACTGACAGCTGCCTAATCTGTCCACCAATTGCAGACTTGCAGTGTTTAGAGCGCCCTCTGCTGGGTGTAGAAATCTGTATGTTCAAGGATAAATGTAAAGACTTAAATACCAAACACACATACTAGCTAATTCCTTCAGCCTATTCAGTGCTTTGCAGATGTCTGCTTGGCTTTGATTTTTTAAATACATTTGCATAAATCTACAAAACAACAACAACATGCTTTTACTTTATTAAATGGTGGGACAAAATGCCAGTGAGGGTCATATGAAATTAAAGTGGATCTGAGTCACTCGCTCTTCGCTATTTGTTACTTTGTTGTGAGTTCAGCTTGTGGTCGTTTGTTTTTTTTTCATTTTGCATAAAATAGCACATCTATTTTACTCACTTTGC